TTTGTGTTTTTGATCTGGTTTCGTGGCTATTATGAAATTTTATTGATTTTTTAAAGATGTCTGATTACGAAATCACAAATTTTGAGCTTCGCGTGCTTGCAAGTCTCCTTCGTCCAGAACCGTTGGTCGTCCGGAACGTGGCCTGTCTTCAAGATCCAAATCGCCTTCATTGAAACGCTTGAACCATTTCTGTGCAGTTCGCGGTGCCACCGTACCTTCACCTTCAACGTCGCAAAATGCTTTGGCAGCTGCTCTTGCATCCAAATTCTTTCTCCAATAATGATGCAGCAATACGCAAAGCTCAAAATGTGTGATTTCGTAATCAGACATCTTAAAAAATCAATACTCATAATCAAAAATCATAATAGCCACGAAACCAGATCAAAAACACAAAAAATATAAAAAATCATTATTTTAATACGGCACACGAACTTTTTCCTCAACCTAGTAGATGCAAAAATAAGTTTTCCTCTTTCAACCATCTACAATGAAATATCATTGACCACAAAAAGATTAATTCCAAAAATGATCACAGGGAAGAAGTCCTGCATAGTCCTACAAAATACAAGGTGAGTCAAAAGTCACTGAATGAATTTGAACAGCTATAACTCAGCAAGGAAGGCATTAATTTGCAAACTGCTTTTTGCATAGGAAAGAGCATGTGGTAATTGACTAATATGCAATGTTTAAAAAAATCCATTTATTTGGCATAAAAATGACTGTAATTACTGGTTATGATATTGAGCACCATCAAGCTCAATCATGTGATCTGTCACTGAAAGACAACTCCAGGAATTTTCTCAGTGATATGTTATGCCTGGTCTTTAAATTAACGATGGCAACATGTTCCACCATAGAAAGTTCATCGGCATTACCAGAAAACCATTTGGAGCAGCAAAAATTAAGAAAATAATTACAAATGGGGCATCTGTTATACCCTAAACATCTCTTTTATGTTGAAAAATGTTGCTTTTAGTTTTGTGCGGGCTCATCCCATTTCTTATTATTACTTCATGCAAATTTCCATATTGTTTCATCAATTAACACACTCTTTCATTTGCAAAAAAAGATTACAAATTAATGCCTTCCTTGCTGAATTATAGCTGTTCAAAGTCGTCCAGTGACTTTTAACTCACCCTGTATACAGGGGGGAAAATGTAGGTGTAATGAGGTGAGAGTACCTCTTGGACTTCCAGGTGGACAGTGGCACGGGCACGGCTTCCTTTGACATAAAACTTCATCCGCATGTGGTTAACACCATCTTGTACATATTCTAGATGACTGCAGCAGAAAATCAATACCCAAGCTGATGGAGACAGTGTTTTGATAAGCAATAGATAATGCAGCAAGGCAGAACTTGACTTGAAGTACAATATTTTTTTATGCAGATTGCTTGATAAAAGCAGGTGTTTTAAACAAGAGTGAGCCTTTTGCATTACATGACTATGTCATGGTGTAATGTCTGAAGTGAGGGTGTGACCTTCATTACTAAGAAAGGGATTGCTGCTAAGTTGGGGAGAATTGAGATGGGATGTTCTACCTTTTCCACTGTTGTGAGCAGAACTCTCCAACTTAGCAGCAACAGCAGCAATCTATTTCATCAAAGTGAATGCTGCACCCTCATTGCTGACATCTTGCCATGATATATATCCATGCATTGTTTCACATGCAAAGGCTTCTTATTCAATCTTTTGAGCCATAATTCACTGGAAAAATTAATTGTTAATATTCATATCTTTTGTTACATCAAACAGTTGTAACAGCTGTAACATCAAACTTTCCTGTTTCTGCTGCATGATAGTAGCACCAATCAAGCAACCATTATGGATTCAGAGTGAAACTACCTTACCAGAACCATGCTACATGTGCTATGAAGGTGGGTTCACTGCAAAACCACTCTTACCCAAGAAGTTGAAATACTAGACATGATTAAACTTGAAATGAAGGGGAGACAATTTGAAACACATTGAATCAACATTGAATGAATGTTTGGGATGTTGATACAACGTGGGTCCAATGTGGGTATGCTATCAGTATGCTACCAGGGATATTTCCTGATTTGTATAAATAATGGTTGAGAGAGAATAATGATCAACAAAAGGTACCAGTGTGTTTTGAATATTTTATAGTATTGATGGAATTAGTACTCTTTATATTTTGAACATATGCAGATTGGAACCCCTTTGAGATTTGAGGCCATACTCAAAATTGAGTGATTGGACTGCTGCATAAGAAACTGCTTTTTTTTAGCTTTTCCCTGTTAGTTGCTGGCAAAAAAGTAATAGTTTTGAACTTGCCTGCAAGTCTTGAAAGGAACTACTTAAGAACCCTGCCCATAACTCTAAGTGAATAATCAAGACCAAAGAGAGGAAATAGGAGGGAGACCTGGTGTGTCTGCGTCGACCTCGCCGAGTCTCTTCTCCAAACCCACGAATATTCTCCCCAAGGGCATCTTGAATCTGGGGGTCTTTCATCACTTGATCCAGGGCCTTGGCATACACACGATTGGGGCTCTTGGATGAGAAGAGTTCACTGAAGATGGCATAGAACATGATCCCAGTCACCCCAACTCCTAACAGGATCACCCCGGTGTAACTGGCCATCTTTGTTGTCTCACGAACTGATAAAGAATTAATTGCCCAAATTAGATTTTTGAATTCCATGTCTTTTCTTAACCCTTTTGTTCCTGGTGGTACTCAGGAGTCCCATAACTTTCACCTACATATTGATATAATTTTTTAGTTTTTTACATAATGGGACACAAGAGTCCCATCATGAAAAAAAATTATCAATATAAATTGTATATATCAAATTAGAATTGTTGATATGAATAATCTTCAAGAGTGTGTTGTGAGAAACCCAGGACTCCAATTTATTTCTCGTTAAGTTAGGGATGAAGGGTTAAACCATTCTAAGCAAAAGTTGTTTTAGTGTGAAGCATGCTGGAAATGGTATGAATGAAAATTTTTGTTCATGAAGGGTTTCTTAACGCTTTGCATATAGGGTGCACTTTATGTACTCATGTGAAAAAGCTGTGTTTTCTCAAGTAATGTGGTTATTTTTGTAAATTGTTTTTAAAAAATCCAATATATGCTAATTCAGTGAACTGGTAGGTGAGTGGCTCTGTTGGCTCCCTTGACAGGGGAAACCAAATTTGAAAGTAACCATATCAGGGCATTTATTTCCTAATGCATGCCCCAGCACGTTGAGAAGGGAGAACCTCATCTATACATGTCAGTTATAAACCCTTTCACTGCTACATTCTAATTCTTTATGCATCTCTGTGCTGAGTTACTAACTTCTGGGCAACATTGTGAGCCCTATTTATAAATAAAAATATGTGTTCCCTCATTTGCCTTATTATGCAAATGTATAACTGGACTGGTTCAGATTGTCAGATTGTCCTGAAAAATCTCAGGTAAGAAGCACAAGAAAAAATGCTGCAATAAGATACACATTTCTGTGCTCGAGTTAACTTGATCATAGCAGTGAAAGGGTTAATGAGCTACAATAGCAAAGACCAAAATCAGGTAGTATATCCCTGGAATAATCACTTAGGCAAAGTTGAGTCTTCTAAAGATAGATGTTGCTTTGAGTCATACATGTAGGTGCAAGAGGGTGGAGTTTAGATGGTGGAGAGGGTTAGCTGGGATTCAAGGGACACTTACTACTTAAAACTGGTTTTCCCAACCTCTGCCAAAGCAAGGCTCATGTTTCACATGTACATCTGTGCAAGCAGTTCATTCAAATAACATAATTAGAATGGGTATGAAAAGGAATTGCAGGTCCTACATTTAAATGCTAAATCTACTGATTCCTGATTTTGATGCAATGCGTTGTTGACCAATTTGTTCCTTTTCTAATGTAGCAGTGATTCCAATTCTAAATGTATGAATGCCTTAAAACTAAAGTCCACACTACTTGTTCTTACCACTTAATAAAATCATACACAGAGGCTAATCATGAAAGAATGAGCTCCATGAGCTCATTCCATCAAGACTGTCATGGGTGAGACAAAGTCATGTACGACTACAATAAGTTTTTCAACTAAGTATTTGGGACATCATCATCACACTTGCACAATTTCTTCTTACACTTATAATAACTGCAGACAATGTAAGGTGGAATGTTTACAGTCATAACAAACTATAACTAAGCATACCTCGTTCTCCAAGAGTGGCCTCTCCAACTGCACTGGACTGCCTGGCTTCTGTTATAGCAGTTTCCTGGGGCTTGGCTTTTTGCCACTTCACCTTGCATCCATGTGTGTGAAAATCCCTCACATTTCTTGGCACAATTGAAAAGAAACGTCTGTACATGGCCAATGATGGCTGTGCCCCTTTCAGGGGCAATGATATTAACTTGTAAACAATCATCTCTCACAAGATGCTGGCATAGCACAAATACTCCGAAACAGATCCTGGGGACACATGATGAAGATGAGTTTCAAAGAATCTTGCAGACCTACTTCCAGAATGAATATATGAATTCCCTACATGAGCAGCACTAGACTTACCAGGTACTTAAATTCAGGTTTTTTAGTGCAAATACATAGGGATAGCTGGAATTGGAACACAGATGTATTTCTTATTTATAGAAAAGGAAAAATAATGCCAGAACCAGAACATGAAAGAAAGCCTCAATTCAACTTCTACAAAACAAAACAAAACCACACTTTTTATAAAATTTGCAACATTGAACATAAAAAATTAAATTTGGATTTGACAAGCACATTCCCAGGCCTCTGATGCAGAGACCAACCACTTATATGGCATCATGGGTGCTGTTATGAAACATGAGTCCCAGGGACTGAAGTTAGCATGATCACAAAGACTCCAAAAATGATTTGTCAATAGTGGATGGGCCTAAATGGCATCAAGGTTCTCAAGAGAAGTCTCTCTATTAAAGCGGAGTCTGTCTGAAATCCATTAGGATTGAATTATGAGTGCATGCATTCTTAGAACTATCAATATGAAGAGTCCTCATGAGCAGAGTCATTGGAGAGCATTAAAAAATTTATAGGTATCAAGATCCTAAACAAGCAACAAATGAGAATGAAGCTGTCAAAGTCAGCCCTGCCAGTCACTGTGAGCCCAGTCTGGAAGCTCAGTCTCATACTCCCAATCAGCACCCTATAGAGAAAAAACACATTGCATCCTCCAATCAATTAGAGCAATTGATTTTTAGTGTGCATGATCTCAACTGGATAGGAAATTGGCTTGCCTTGTACCTCCAGGCATGGAGGTACATGATGAGGTCAGAGGGGGCAGGGTCCTTGTAGTCAACTCTGCACTCAGGGCAGTAAGGATCAAAGGTAATTTTGTCTGGATCAAATGATTTCTCAGATATGGGACCATCTTTTGTGTCATCCCCATTGACCTGGACTCCTCGGGATGCCTGACCCCACCCCTTTTCACCTGATTTATGTACAATGGCTTAATTCATTAAGTCTGTAATTGGAGATGTGAACCTTCTATTGATTTATGCTTAAAAAAACACCTAACCTATATTATATTTCTGAGTGTTTGTGGATCTGTCTGTCCTTTATGCAAGGCCACACCTCTGATCCCAGTCTGACCAAACTTTGCATGGCTTCCTCATTTGGTTCAGGGATAGTCATAGGCTAGGTGGTGTTTCAAAATGTGGACCCCCAGGGGTACCTTATTTAGTGCAGATTTGGCTGATTCACTACTACAGATCCCCCAAAGGAGTAAAAATTTTGAGGGGTCATCAAAAGTTGTTGAGGGGCCCCATGTTACTAAATACAATTGTCATTACACCTTGCAATGCAGTAAGTTTATTTGCCTGGAGGGCAAACAAACTTGCTAGTACTTGATAAATGCCATATATATAAAATAGCCACTTCACATAGAGTAGCACACTGTTGATTGAGACTGTAGAACTCTTCTCATGTTCACAATACTGAATCAACCACTACCTCACTTGCAAGTACTCCTGGGTTCATCACAAATCTAACCATACATAATAAATGCTAAAAAGTGGACAAGAATCCAACAGCATTTGACCCAGTTTTTTTTCTTTCCTATGGTTTGAAATTTCAGAGAGGTTTTGTAATGTGGTAATGTGGTATTGGTAGGTAATTTATATTGCACCAGTTCTGAACCAGGCCAGCAGCTTGTCACATGTGCTGCAGGAAACTGAAAGTACCAGACAGCAGGATCAAATTTGCTGTCCTTGGAGGAGAGGTGCTTTGAGCTGGAGGACAAAATTCATTCTCACCAAGACTGGCATGATCAAGAGGCTGATGGGGTTTGTAAGAGAGCCAATTCTCAACATTGTGGACCTTGATAAGATCAGCCAGAAGTTCAGCATTTGTCTTGATGGTACATCCTCCTTTACCCTTCTCAGGACCAAATGCATCACTGTTGTACAATGGATCATTCACAATTGGGTACCCTGCATTCAAATAAGCATTCAATCAATCTAAAGCTCTATGAGAAAAGCTTCTAAAGAAGTTCATACAATACCTAGATACTGAAGGTGGACCCGAATCTGGTGCATGCGGCCTGTGCGTGGACGACACAGGACAACACTGGTCTTCCCATTCCAGGAAAGTCTCTGGAATTCTGTCATGCAAAGCTTTCCTGATGAGGACACCTTGGAAACCCCAATCTTAAAGCTGATACATTCAATTGGCTCCTTGCATATCACTGGTTCCCTTTAGATACAGGATATACATACCAGGATAAAAATTAAAAGCTCAAATTCATGCATAATATAGTGCATATTATACACTAACCATATTGACATGAGGGAGTGTTCATTTAGTTCTAAGACCAGGGCTTTAGTCCTGCAATGAGTTATGCCATAGCAGTAATGTCATATAAATTGATGGTATATGATCTTGACAGCACTATGATCTTGGTTTCTGCATGCTTATTAACCCTTTCACAGCTATGCACTAAAATATCAGTTGTGCCCCAGGTATGTTTTTGAAGAACTGGACAATAAAAGGGTTAATAAATACTACTGTGCAGTGTTGCATCACACCCAAAGTTGTGAAAATATGGTTTTGCTATTCAAACCCTAAGGAAACATCCATTTAAATGAATAGCAAAATCACATACTTACAAGTTTGGGTCTAATGCACACTGTGCCTCATCACACAGTAGTACTTATTAACCTCTTAAATTAGGAATTTCACAGATAGAAGACCACTCTGAAGTGGGACCTTTTTCATAAGTCATAATTAGTGTTTGTATATAGAAATTTACCTATCTTTTTTGAGTAGCAAATTTCTATAAGAGCAAAAAATTTATATTTCTAGTCCTCAAATGTCATATTTCTAGTTAATACTTAAATTAAACTTGAAAGATAGGGTGACAAGCATATACAGTAATAACAATATGCTCAAGATGCGTTCCTGAAAAATGTTCAGCATCCAGCCCAGCATGTTTGAGAACACCTCAAGTCAGTTACAGTTTGCTTGCATCTCTTTTTTATAACATTATTCTTATGGGAAAACTTGTTTCACAACATGCTGATTCACGATATGCTCCGTTTTTCAGGAACACATCCCAAGCGTATTGCAAGGTATTACTGTATGTCAAACCCATCTAAGGAACATTTTGCCATGACAGATATACCACATATATGGCATACCCATTTGTAAAGTAAATCAGCTAGCAGACACAATGTCAAGATTGTATGCAATCATTATATGTAGCACTACTGCTATGGCACAACTAATTGTGGAACTACAGCCTGTGTACATAAAATAATGAAAACCACAAAGCCTTTAAGTCTAACACACCTATATAAGCCAAATATAAAAACCCAGAGAACTGCTTTCCCAGAGAAATGCAGAACAAGACAAAAATACAAGCAAATATTGCATGTAGAAGGGCTGATAGCCAAAACCTAGGTGTTCACCTCTCTCTTGAAAACCAAAAATGAAATACAGATTTGAGTACAGGGAAGAAATGGCATATGCCACCAGAAGCCCTTTCAAACATAGGTGCACCAAGTTTCTTGAGGGCAAAGGACAAAATTGGGTTCACTTTCTTTCCCTCATTGGAAATAGCAAAATAATTTTTGCAAAGAAGTTCCATACCCTCACCCATTCCCTATAGGAAGGGAAGAAGGTGACAGGAAAAAAAAACCAAAGACGTAAAGCTAGTTCTTGCGGAATGAGCCAGCATCTCTACCATTACAGCATGTAGAGTAAAACCTTGCTTTAATGAGCTTGCTCAGAAATAGGGATTCATTTCAGAAAACATATAATTTAGCCACTGCCTCTCATCAATAGAGGCAATGCATCACAGGCCCATTAATAAGCACCAATATGGCAAAGACGTACACTTTAGCTCATGGATTTACTCTGTTCATTTTGAATCATCTATTTCTAATGAGTCCAAGACTCTTCAGTAACTTTGAAGACTCCAATTTTTCTTACTTTTCATCTTAATCATTAATGTCTCTGACATAAAAGTGAAGGGGGGTAGGGATATGGAGAAAGAACATATCCTCTTTTTTGTTTTTCTTTCTCTTTTGGAGGGAGAGATAATAAAAAAATATGACCGCATGCAATACTTGCTTGGCACCTTTGTACTCATCATAACTAAGGCTGCCACAATTGCAAAGTATCAAGAACATTGATGCATCAATCTGTGTCACTGGCAGCACATCAATGCAATGCAAAATTAAACATTGACCATCACAAATGGTGAGAGGTGGGGAGATAGTTAACAAGAAACTGTTGGTCCCTTAATTGCTTAAACAACTGTAAATTTTGACTCAGGTCCTTTCCTTCTAAGTTTGCTGATACATGGTGAAACCATCCACACCACTGACTGCTACTGAAGAATCCATAGATCATGACAGTGCCCTTCAAAACTGGACTTTATTGTACTTACAATTAGCTAGGATGTGTTATACTTTCACTTGCCCTCTGTGCTCCTCCCCCTCCCTCCTAATCGGTAATATCTAGTATTGGCAATGTTACCAACAGAAATTTGTGAAGTTATTGAGTTGGAAAATCCATCAGTAAATGGTCACCTTCTACAGGTTACTGAAGTCACCACAAACATCAACCTACATTTTATGATAATGTAAGATTCACAATTCCACAACAGATAAACAGGTCGAGTACTACTGAGTGAGGCATAAGAAAAGCACCACTCTTAGAAATTCTTTGGCATTTATGAGATAGCACATAACATTTTGTTCATAATTATTTCTCTCTGATCTCTTAACACCTGAAAACTCTTGCCTGTTTCTCTTCAGCCTCTTCATCATTCCAGCGATTTTATAAAATCAACTAGAATATTATTTTTGGACAAGGAAATGTACTGCTGGGAAAGTGTGTTGGTGTGAAGTTGGGGCACTTACTTCACACTAACTTTAAGTCATGCCTCCTCATATCTGTCCATGAAAATGGTACTCCCTCAGAAGGTGGAGCAGTGATTGAAGCATGTTATTTTGAGCAAGGATGAAGGGAGGATTTGAGGGATTGGTTCACCAAATAAACCAAGGAAAACAGTGCTTATATGTAATTGTGCTTTTGGCATTGTTTCTTTAAATTGGGGGTGTCAAAAGTTTTGGAGTGCCAGGCCCAGTGGCATATTTTACAGGGGGGCAGCCACCCAGCCTGGTGTCCCCTTGGAGGAAATAATTTTCTCACCTGATATCACTCGGGTGGGGTTTGGCACCCCCGTTCTGTTGCCTTGCCCCCCCTGACCCTTCAGCCAAAATACACCACTGGCCAGACCACATTGGAAGTAAAAAAGGGTATGGGTCAGGTAGCCAAAAAATATTACTTTAAAAAGTTATAAATGAGAAATGCAATAAGGATACTTGGAATAAAATCCAACATGTATTTTATCACATGCAAAGTGTGATACACCAGGCTTCAGATAATAATTTATGTAGGCAAAGGTTCCTGCTACTAATTGTCAGATACTGGGGTGAATCAGAGGTGTGTTCAAAGGATCCTTAAAAGCAAAGCCTTCAAAAGAATTGGCAATTCCTGTCAGTGCTGTAGATCTGAAGATCAATATTGAATTGAGAGCAAAAAAATAACATTCAAGTGGCTTTTGTAGAACAAACTGAGACGTGAAATTGCTGTAGATAAATGAACAAAGATTTAAGATGTTTAGAGGATATATAGAATAAGTATTTTTGAAAAACTTTGTTGTGCTATCTGCTGTTCCATATGCATCAAAGAATTTCAAGGAGTGGTATGCTTTTATGCCTCAGCCAGTACATATTTAAGGAAATTCCTAAGTGGTAAGAGAGAGGACTGACTCAGGGAAGCAGCCATCAACACGGCAAATGTATTCCTTGACCAGTTCCCGGTTACGGAGTTGAACCTCAAAGGAACGGGCAATGTTGGCATGACGGGCAATTAAGAGCAGACCACTGGTGAGACGATCCAAGCGATGGAGTGTATGCAGGCTTGTCAATCCGTGATCCTTGGCTAAGATCCACATCACTGAGTTGTGACGGTATCGACCACATGGGTGGATCTGACCAATCATTCCACCAAAGTCATTGTCATTAAAGCATTTGAGAAGAGGCGGATTTCTACTCCAGACTCACAGGGATGGATGATGGCTTGTCAATGACAATGAGGTTCTCATCACTGTGCACAATCTTCAAAGGTGCTGCTGTGACAGGGACTTCATGTCTGCAGATAAGAGCAAGTCATAATTCAAATTCTTCAAGATTTCATGCACTACAAAACACCAGAAAGCATCATGGAAGTGATACCTGTGAATAGTGTTGGCCATAAGATCATTGCCTTTTATGACATACTCCAAGCCCACTGGTTCATAGTTCACTGTCACACGGCCCAGCTCAATGAATTTTTCCTGCATGATGTGAAACCTCAATTTGATTTAACAGTACAAATGAGATAAGTAACATAACTAAATGTCATATGTGGAAGTAATTGATAAAATTTTCAATAAAATTGCTCACAGTTAGTAAGACACAGCAATTTTTAGCCAATTTAGGATATTCTAAGACTCTGACACAGTGTCCTGATGTCTCCCCAAGGACACCCATGAATTTGATACTTAAAATTCATCACCTCAGCAGATGAAAACCATTAAGTTTTCATGGTGCTAGTATGGTACAATTGGGGTTGCAGAAATAGAATTTTATTTTCAAAATTATCCTGGATTGTTTGGCCAGACAAATGTCTGTAAGGTCATCTGAAGATTTCAATTGAGTTTAACTCTTTGCCAAGTCAAAGTATATAGGGTGTACAGTCCTAAAAAGGGGCAGGTGGCATGAACTACAAATGGGGTGCCATTTTTTATAACCTGTCAAAGCCCTGCCTCGTTTTTGCCTCAAACCTGTTTTCTGAGAAGCAGAAAGGAGAGGAACAGTGAATTAATGTGACAAATGAGACTTTTGCAGCTCTATGTGCATTAACCCTAATACTGACCTGGAGTATGACTGCTCTGCTATAACCTCGAGTCTGCTTGAACCCCTATTACCATGACATTGGGTATGTTCACTTGGACTTTGTTTTCCAGTATGCATAGCCACCATCTTTGAAACCCACTAGTGAAAGCTGTCACTGAATATTATGACCTGGAGTAAAATGGTTTTCTGCAGACTAATGTAAAAACAGGGCTAAGGTCCAACCTGAACCCCAGGTAATAGTGATAAAGTTAAGGTGTGGTTCTTTCTGGGACTGGACAAATTGCGCATACAACTTATACCTTTCCATTCCTGAATTTTAGGCTCTGAACCATTCAAGACAGTAATTACCAATTATTGGATAATGAGGTTACCTAAGTCATTCCCTACTTTCTTCTACTCCTGGTCTGCCCTCAGGGCACCATGCTGAAAATACATTAAGGCCAGCGGCTGGCTGACCAATAGGTCTGAATGTTGCAAAATGAGGCTTCCCATTGAATATCATTAATTTGCTTTTTCAGAAGGTAAGAACTCTCCACTGTGAACATTTGCTCAAACCCAAAGTAATCCCTCCCATGAACCCTCAACCTATATTATACCCAGATGACCACCACCCTGTGTTTGTAGCTATATTCAATCACCGGACTTCCTACACTCATGACTTAATTCACAAAGGTTTCAAGCATTTCTTCTATTTGAACTGTTCCTCAGAGAGACTTTCCCACCCACTCTTGGTCACCTTCAAACAGCAAAAAACCTGAGAGGTGTCCTTATACACTCAAGATTGACTCCTATCAAAACATCTGATTCAAGTTATTTCCTTGCTTTAGCAAGGCTATACACTCTTACCTAGACAAGAAAGTAATTTTTTCTTCACAGAATGCAGAACCTTCAACATCTAGTCTCCCATGACCTGCTCTACCCCCTGTGATTTACTTCATTACATAGAAAGTGTGCAAGGCACAATATGTGGGGGAAACAGGCAGACTACTCTCCGACCAAGGAGCACATACATTATGCAAATCTAAATTACAAGGAACCTACAGAAATTCATTTTAGTATCCTGGACACCAGCATATGGATTCAACCATACTCCCCATTGAAAAAGTTAGGATAAATGAGCTGACCTACAGGAGGAAATGAGAAACCACCTGTGTAGGAATACCAAAACCAGTCCTTAATTATCTGTGACCTCCCTTCTTAGTCCATTTCCTTACCCCCTTTTACTTTCTCATTCATTTCCTATGATATTCTTTATTTCACATGTCCTCACTCCTATTTTTTATATTACTTTTTCACCAATTTGTTAGCATGTTTCATTCCTCCTATATTCTTGACCTAAGACTTGACATTTTCTTTCTTGATTAGATTCCCTATTCCCTGAAGGAGGCATTTTTCCTTGAAAATGTTGGTTTCATCCCTTGGTTAAAGGGCCCAGTTGTAAGTGTTCTCTGTTGTTCTGTGGTTTTACATTCCTTCACTCCTATATCCAATGAATTTATGTACATATTTTGCTGGAAAGGTTTAGGCTTGAATGCTGAAACTTTATTATTTAATGGTTCTTTTAAGAATCTCATAAGGGGCAAAAAGAGCTCTTTAGCTTAAAGACACCTTCATCTCCCCTAAATGGAGTTTCCTTATTCCAGCCCTCATCAAGTGGAATGTGATCCCCATCACAGAGGTGGTCTCTAAGCATCAGCGGGGAGGCAACAGGCTTGTGTTTTGAACTAGATTAATTCTTTCCTTCTTGTGAAAATGCTGCAAAAGGAAAATTGGTCACCCAGCTGGAACAGGAATATCAGCACCAGAGGTGGCCATCCAGGCCTCTATGGCACAAGTTAGGACTACTAGGGCAGTACCAGAGGAGGAAACATGGTATTAAATCACCATATTGACAGTTAGCACTATTACTTCATTAATTTAGCTGTTTTAAGCTTTTTAAATTATTTTGTCTTACTTTCATGGTCCCTTTGGGTTTACCTCCACATGCTGAGGAGCAGGCAAATGTAAAAATTACATTTTTGGCTAAAAAAGGATGAGAACGAAAATAAAAACTTCCAATTTTATAGCAATGGTTTTCTGTTATAACTTTAAATTTCATTTGCATAAAAAGTCCCAAAAAAACCTTTGCATTCAGGATCAAAAAACCTTTCAAATGATATGCATTCATCAATATTAGTGGGGACCCAGTGGTCCTGACAAAAATAATATCTTTCTTAAAAGATACAACTTATCTCCTTCCATTTAAGAGTTATACAGTATTGAAATCTTCTAGTGACTTCATAGACACCCTGTATTTCTCCAAGCAAAAGCCTCAGAGAAATGTAAAATTGCCTACCTCTTTCCACATCCCTCTTTTCTGAACTAGCCCCAAGTGCTATTTGGATAAGAGGATGTAAAAAGAGGCGTAGATTATTGCAAATAGGAAAAGAAAATGGAATTTCTGCTCCTCTTTCTTAACTCACATATGTCTCCCGAGGAAGGAGGCGGAATTCAGACTCAAAGATGTCGATGATGGTTCGTCCCATCCAGCGCTCCTTTGCAAATGATGTGAATGTGAAGAAATATGGGTAGACCTTTCGCAAACCTGCAAAATGTCAGTCCCTATACATCAGTTTCTCTTGACCATAATAAGTGAGGGTACTTATTCTAGCACCACACCAGAATATAGGATTTAGACATATTGAGAAAGCCTGGGAGCCCAACTTGCAACAATGATGGATGGGCAAATACTTGAACTGGGTTCAGGAAAGGTATTTGTTCAAGGTTTCAAAACTTTCAACTACACTGATGGACCCACCCAGCTTCTAGGGGATGGTTACTCTAGTCTACAACCAGCAAATAGGTAAGAAGTAGGAAATGGTCATCTGTGAAAATTCCAAAATTTACTTTTCCAAGTGATACAACATTTCCCTGTCATTTCATGTGCATGAATGAGGCAAACTGGTAAAAACTATATATAGGGGAAAGCCTCATTTTAAAGGCTTTGACACCTGCTCATTGCATGGGTTTCCATTAGCAAGAAGTGTATTCACCCAAGTTGGTGATCTCACCCTTCACTTTGTGTTCCCTCTCTGGCTTAACATTTTCAGTCCTGGGGATTTGAGTGTGTCATGTTTTATACCTGTGGGACTGAAAATGTTAATTCAAGCATTGTCGAAGTCTATCATTGAGAGGTAAGAAGACTCTTATGGTACCAGATATAAGCAGGCAAAAGAATCAGTCTCATCAAAAACCATCAACATATTTATATACATACATACACTATCAAAATACCTACTGATAGTCGGATAAGACCAGTTTTGATGGCATATCTTTGACTAAAGCACCTACATAATCATACCTACATCCTCAGGAAGGAATTATACTGCTGGGGATGAAGGTAAGTAACCACTCCTCAATTCTAACAGCAGGAGCACTAAGACGGTGGAGTCCAAAACATTCACCACTCGGCACATGTGGCGAATCGACCACAGACACGTGGCAAATTGGTGCTCTTCATCAGTTATATTTTTCCTCCTAATTTCAGAAAAAATATTCATCAGGAATTCAAAAATTCCACATTTATATATTGGCAAGTTTGAATGCTTTAATTTAAGAATAACACTGCCATATTGTTTTATCCACTTAATTTAATTATTTTTAGTTGCTACAAGTTTTCTATGAATTATTTATCTACTATTCAACTATTCCTTTATTATAAGTTTATCCTCTACTTTTCATTAATCATTTTATGCATATTGCTAGGCTAAGCTTTATAGCTTAGTCAGGATTACTTTGGATTTTGAAGATAATTAATTTACTTAAATATTTCCCCCCTAATTTCAGACATGGTTTATCAAAAAATGGCAAAATGAACCGAGAGAAGTGCTGCCTTGACTGATGATGAAAAAGCCTGCACTTCAACGGAAAGTGCAGCAAAGAAAAAGAGAGATAGGAAGAAAGTCTAGCATAAATTTCACAACGAATGGGAGTTGGAATTTGCCATTGTGAAAAGGTATGGAAAAACCAGTATGTATGCTGTGTAAAAAAATGTTCAAGAAAAACAAGATGGACAGTTTGAAAAAGCATTTCTAAAGCACACACAATGAGTTTGATAGGTAAGTTTCCTCTTGGCAACCAAAATCAAGTAGACAAAATCACTCTCCTGAAGTCGAATTTGAATCAGCAGCAGTAGAATTTGAAATAGTTGCTTTCATCATCTGAGCTGGTGACATTGGCTAGTTACAAAGCGGTATGGATTCTGGCTTGAAAAATATTTTCAGATGGAGAATTGGTGGAAGAAATCATCTGCACAAATATGGAAACTTTGCTGTGACAGATTTCGATTCATGAAATTACAAACACTGTGCTTTTTGCTGCTGAGACACCATTTTACAGTAGGGGTGATGACAACACTGCAGCAGTCAGGAAATGAACTATGATATGTCACCAGGGAACTTGAAGTGTTTCTTTGAATGCACAATGTTATTTCATCCCTGTACCAGGTCCAGTTAATTAAATAAGGAAAATTGTAATCATCCCGTTCATTTTGGTACACCCTGTATTAATATTGCATATATTTAGTATCATGTGAAAAATATGGTGGACCTGATTGCCAAAAGTTTGGCAAGCATTGAAATCTTATTGGACACCATTGCACTAAGAAACAGATCCCAAGAAGCTAACAGGACTCACCATTTTCAAAGTAGTAATCTGTCTCATAGTAACGATCCATGTTCATGCCTGGACGCCGGAATTTCAGGACTCTTGTATTCATGGTTGACCGCTTCTTTGATTTCCTCTTATCTTCAAGAAACTCAATAGACACTGACCTGCCTTGGTCATCCTAATTTCCAGGATAAGAACATGTTTCACATCCTGTTATGAACCATACTAGTTCAAAGTTAGGCTTACATGCCCATGATGTAAGGCCAAAACATAACATCATGAGAGTGCAAGGCCTCTAGACCTAATGCTATTTTTAGGGAAGCTTATACTTAACTTTGCAACAAGCTTTAACCCCCCTCAGTCATGATCATATTAAATAATGTATTTGAAAAAAAAAAAAAAAAACTCCCAAGGGGAGGGTGGGGAGAGGAGTCAGAGCTTGATCACTAAGGGTGACATGCACATTAGTTTAGGAGCTAAACTGATCTGATTCCAGGCTAATATGTTTAAGAATGAGTTGAACTCCTCATTAAACTGATATGTGACATGCACCAAATTAAATCAGGTTTTTTTTTCTCTTAAACTAATCTTCAAAGATAAACTTGTTCCATAGCAGGTTTAACTAAATGGATTCACAAAGGTGGTTCAGCATGCTGTTTTGCCAGAATGGGCCTCATTTTTCTTGCCTTTCCTCATCTAGCAACAGTAGAAATGGAAATTAATGAAGAGATAGAAGTGTCTGACATGATCCTCAACCAAATTGCCAGGAGGACTATCAGAGCTCAGCTGAATCCTCTTGAATGGTTTAATGGAGATGAATTCCTAACAAGGATTCATCTTTCAAAGGACACCATTGCCAACTTGATGCAGACAAAGGAGCACAACACTCATCATTCTCTTTCCAAGTGCAACCATGCCGCCTTTAAACATGTTTAAATCACAGATAAACACATTCACGTAAACTAATCTGATTTTCTGTGGTGCATGTCAAAGATAAACACATTCCTAAACATGTTTTTGCGAACACGTTCATCTCGTCTTTAAACTAATCCAATTCCTAAATTGGTGCATGTCACCCTCTATCTCGTTAACCCTCCAAGCGGCAAATGTTGCAGTTGTGATGTTAATACATGCTGCAATAATGTCACTATTGTGCTATTTGCTGCTTGGAGGGTAAATTGGTCATTTCCTCTTTTGTCATCAGGTAAGTCTTTTCATTGCTCTATTCCCACTGAAATAACATATGCACTGCTCATGAGGGTCTTAAATCAACTCAATACAAAAAACCTCTACTGAAATCTTTGGAATGTAATGCTGGTACATAGAATTCTTAGGACTTTTAAAAATTCTCATAGTGTAATTCTGGAACTGACTGTTGATGAACAGGTATTTGAGCTGAATGCCTGACCATTTTTGTAACTCAAAACAAAGTTGAGACTGTGTCCTTCCTAATTTTGAATTAGATTTCAATAATTGGAGCAAAATTGAATTAGTTCACAAGTTCCTCAAGAAATGTCTGGATTTGCAAAGGTGGTTGAAACATCTCTAAATCTAACTTTACTTTCATCAATCTGTAGAAGGTAAGAAAGCTTCAGCTTATGGAATAAGATGGGGAGGACAAAATTTGTATTTGCAAGTGTCAAGTTGTCATGTCTGTGTCAATGTCTGTAACATTTAGCACATGCTAAAATATCATACATTGACAAGTAGGAAAAAACTGAAATTTGCTCCAAAAATTCTCATTATTGAATATACCACTCTAGACTTTTTCAAAATGTGCCCAATAAATGTAAAGTAATGCTTGTAAAATGACTGCAAAGTACACACATACACACTCCTTAGTTCAGTTTTCAACCAGAAAAACTAGAGACATGGCAACATATATTTCTCAGACATTGCACATTGGTAAATTTGATACAGGCTGACACACGAGCTGCTGATAACTGATATGGATGAAAGAGGTCCAGATGTATGAGCACTGCTCAATACTATCCCCCTCTGGTTATAAGGGTCAATGAGTTTCCCTTTTCTCTTAGATAGTACTTTCAATGTACTCTGCTACCTATCAATAAGATGGGATACAGGTCATTATCTGGATGAAGTTGAAAGCAACCAGTTAAGAAATTCATGAAGAGAGGTGCCATTCTCATTTGTCACCAGGGCTAGTGTTTTAGACTATCATTAGGCATAATAAAACTGAAACTTTGAACTAGGTATAAGAATTAAACTCAAACATTAAGCCAACTCAAGATAACAGGTTTATGCCCACACATACTTTGAATCTCTTCACACCACATGGTCCACTGATTTTTGGATTTGCCTGTGACAATTCCCGAGTTTCTGCTAAACTTGAAGACAGCAAGTACACCTGAAAGAGAGGAAATTAGAGAAAATGAAACAGGCAAGCCTTGAAAGGCATATGCCTACTTTGACCTGATATTCACAGACCTACATAATTCATTGTCAACCCTAGTGAAAGAGGGTCCATATATACCACAGGTCAATCTCATGTTAACGCTCCTCAAATTGCACAATATGGAACCTACTTTATCATTTACATTTCATCTGCATCCAGCCAAGTAAGAAGCTTGGAAGTTCTGTACATCCATATTGAGGTTCCCATCTCAGTTCAAGATATGAACTATTGAAGTAGAAAGTTATCTTTAAATATTAATAAATTGAGTATAAGTGTAATTACAACACTTATCACAGAAACTGTAAAAGAGTAAACAAAAATGTAACGCTATTATGAGTAGCTTTAAAATAGGTTTTGATTTTAATTTGAACACGTCCTAGGAACATTTTTATCAATACCAGACCTTGAAACCTTCCAGATGAGTGGTTCTGCAGATCATCTGAAGAAGTAAACCTTCTGGAAGCAATGCTTACTCTACCTCACTACTCAAGAGGGGCAAAAAAAAATACAATCCAACAATAGAATGACAAAGTTTTGTATACCGTTCCTCATCTTCCAATACTATGCAGTCCTTCTGGGTTGACATCATGGATGGCATGGCCGTGCATTACAAGCACATTAGATACAGCAAAACTGTGGTTACCCTTATGACTTTAGCACCAAATTATTTTTTGAGAATGACTTGACTTCTGATCTGAGCATGTAAGTTCTTTTATAGCCCTTGTAGCGTTTTCAATGATCTGCCTAAATCACTTGATGGGCGTACAGGCAAAAATACCCGCTGGAAGTTTTTTTCTTCAACTGCTGGAGGTAAAAACGTGGAATAGGCCGATGGACCCCTTGTCGACAAAAAAAAATTGGGGGGGGGGGGGGGACCACTGACACGAAGAACTAAATCCCTAGATCCAAGTTTATCGTAGGATAATGTCCGACCTAGCGCAGCCTACGGACTACATACCTGCCGAGTGAAATTAGGACTAAGCCGAAATGATCATGTGAACCTGATTAGATGTTGAAGACGAATTCGAGATTCCTTCATCCTCATTGGTGTCCGCACCTGTCTGCACACCGATGCTACAGAAATCCTTCGATGCAGCCATACCCCGCACTAAACGAACGAGTTTCTTCTGGCTCCAGCGTGGGAACAGAAGCAGAAGCATCAAGAGAAGAGCAGTGACTAGCGCAAGACTGGAGCCCAGGGCGCTGCCATATTTTCTTTGGTTATGCCGGGCTCACGAGGCTCTAGGCCAGTGATGAGCAACCCACGGCCGGCGGGCCGCACGTGGCCCACGAGGTCCTGGTGTGCAGCCCGCGGAGCCTTACCGGCAGAGTTTTTTTTCCCCTCTCATCTGCCACCCAGAGTAGAGCGCTCAAGGATTCCGTTGCTCACTGCGGGATATACGGAAGCAAGAAATAAAACATAAATGCTACATTTCCGCTGCAAATATCCCCTCGCTCTCTTCTTGGTCAGTGTATCACTGCTGTCGGAGCAAGCGGCTTGCTTGGCACTTTGGCCAGTAAAAGATGAGAAAAAAAGTCATTTGCATATCATTAGCATCTACTATTGTAGTACCTGGTTTACTAAGCCTGGCTTAGGATTATTTTGGTACTCCGCTGGCATAGAGCCTGTAATTCATTATTTAAAAAATTCATGCGGTCCGCTGGGAACCTATAAGGTTCACTTGCGGCCCGCAGTCAAAAACCGAGTCACTCCTCTAGGCCGATAACTGCGTCCTGACCACTGAGATACTGTAGAGAGACCTTCTCTACCTCAATGGTCCTGACCCTGAAACATTAAGGTTCAAGGTTTCATAGTGACGTCCCGGGTCGAGGTCAAGCGTTCGGCTAATCGTAAGAGGTATACTCTTAAAAGAAAAGAAAGAACTTAAAGTTTGTTTTTTTTTTTTTGGGGGGGGGGGGGGGGGCAGGAGGGACTTCATTTTTTTCCACATCTTATATCTTGCCAAGAGTAACAGATAGAAGGCTTGAATATGGCATCTGCATCTACATGGTGACCCTTATGTAGTGGCACCATTTGTTTTAAATGACATATGCAATATGTATCTTACATGATTCCTTCCTCTTTTCAGATGTTACTGATGCATGGGAGAAATCACTGAGCTGGAAGTTGTGAGACAAGCAGTTGCATAGAGAAGGGGGGGGGTTTAGGGGGGTTAGAACCCCATTGGGCTTCCTGGTCAGCCACAATGACAGGTCTATTTCATCCTTCCTTGGGAATTCCAGTTTTAGCTGTCCCTCTTCAAGGTAAGTCCAATGTCCATTCAGAGACCCAAGATGCAAGATCATGATTCCTTTAAAAATGATATTCCAGGTAGAGGAGTTAAGCGTAGGGTTGGGTGTCTACCTGGCCTCACCCCCCCCCCCCCCGGCTGATTTCCTGCCTACGCCACTGGAGACAAGGATAGGTGGTCTGGCAGATATTACACAGTAATTCTTCAACTTTTCTTTTCAAATGTTAATTCTGTGATGAAAGCACATTGTGAATCCAAGGAGAAGTTTGGATTACACAATTTCTGTTGAAGAAATCTGTATTGCAATATGTTGCTTGTTTTAGGGACAGAGTGTCACTGATGCAACCAAATGTGAATGACCATGAATGTTACATACTTCTAACAAGGTGAAGGGAGCTCAAGAAGTGATCGCACAAAGTCCCAAGAAATCTGTCTGACAACTCTCAAAGGAACTTGGACTAAAAAAGGGAAACTATGAAAAATGTCAAGAAATGACCTTGACACATATCCATATGAAGTCCAAATCATCCATTTCTTACTCTGAAATGAAATGAGGTCATTTCTCAACATTTTTCGTACTGTTTCCACATTCAGTCCAAGTTTCTGAGCGAGTCACTGGACAGATTTCTTGGGACAATGCACGATCACTTCTTGAGCACTCTTCAAATTGTCTGGAGTATGTAATGTTTATATTAGTTCATATTTGGCTGCATCAGTCACACTTCCTCTGTCTCAAAAACCAGCAACACATCGCAATAGATTTCTTCAACTGAAATAGCGTAATCCAAACTTCTCCTTGAATTCACATTGTGCCTTCACCACAGGGTAAAGATTTGAAAAGTAAAGCTCAAGAATCACTGCAAAATATCTGTCAGACCACCTATGCATGTCGCACAACTTTCAGCTCAGTGACTTCTCCCATGCATCAGTAACATCTGAAAGAAGAATTAATCACATGGATTAATCACATGAATTAATCACATGGATATGGAACTCTGCCATCTGCAAGAACCTCCAAGTCGAGCAACTGCTTCTAGGGATCGAGAGGTCCCAGGTCAGGTGGCTTGGACACATCTGCTACAAACCCCCTGAGAGACTCCCAAGAGGAATCTTCCAGGCCAAGATGACTGGCAAAAGACTTATCAGTAGACCACCTACAAGGGGAAGTGATTATATCACTCGGCTTTGTTACAAGAGGCTCAGCATTCCACCAGCTTAGCTTGCTTATGTTGCCCAGGTTCTATATTATTGGAGAATGCTCCTGGGCATGCTTGAACTGCAATTAAGTTGGGAAAAGCAATATTGAATAATTATGTAATGAGAGAACATGTAAAAATTTCACGTCATCATCTCCAATAGTTTGCTATTATCACACAAAGAATTCAAGTGGAAGTAGGAAAAACTCTGGTAAACTGGCAGGTACAGACAAAGTGCAAAAATAAACTTGGATGCCAAAAGGTTAATGATGCAAGTGCTACAGGGACCTCTTCCAATCCCAGTAGGGATCTCAGCCTTGTGGCTCCCACCTGAAAAAGAGGTGGGATTTCATGGCAAACATAGGATAGAGTCAACAGTCTTGGCTTGATTCATCCAGGAAGGGGTTGACGAAATGAATAATGGAAGTACCAGAGGTTGGTGGAAAGTGAATAATGCATTATGCTCACTTATGTTAGGCCAGCAACTAGCATTGATCCTGAATACTGCTGGGGACCAGATCCCATCTGATGATGTTGAGCGTGCTTTCATTTGAAATAAGTAGATTTATCAACTTCTCAAATTTTAAGAATGGATACAATATTTTCCTACTTATTGGTTTCAAATGCAAAAATTTGTAGTTACTCACATCTCTGCCTCAGGGTCAATGATCTTTAGCCTTAAAAGTGTGAGTCATATCCCTGAAGTCATGCACATAGTACATGGAACACTTTGCCAATGCAAAGCCTCAGAGGCTTTTTGAATTTCTTGGGGACCACTCATCTCAAAAGAAAAATTATGAAGGCATGAAAGGATTCAAACTCACCCATTTCTATATACGAGTGAAAGAAGCCCAAGGCAAGGTGAACATCAATATCTTCACTGATGCGCATTTTCTCCATGAGGTGTAGTACAGCACTTGTGAGTTGCTTATGCAAGGGACGGAAAATGTAATCTCGCCACATGACCAAAGTCAGTTGGTACCAGCCATCCATGTTCATCCGGCCATCTATATCCATTTCACCCTCAAACCACATCATCCTGAATCAGTTTACCAAAATCAAATGATCCAGTCTCAGACATTGCAGTCATGCATAGATTACCATTTTAGGATGGTAATTTGTGTACAATGTTTACAAAGCACAAAAACAGGGCTTCAGTGCAACAAAACCTTGCCAATGAATTCCAATGGATTAGATTAGATATCATTCAAGGCAAAGCAAAGGCAGAATTGATGTACAGGGTGAGTCAAAGTCACTGAACAACTTTAAATAGCTATAACTTGGCAAGGAAGTGTGTGTAGCCTAATAGAAGATAAAATTAAATATAAGCATAGACTATAAAGACTAAACAGATTTTGAGGAAGTTCATGTGATTGGAGAAAAGCAAATCACTCTCTTGCAGGTCACAAACCTGGAGTTTAATCAAAGAAAACTTGATGGTGGCAAAATTTTCCTTTGCCTCCAGTAGGTTGTTCTCAACATGACAAGATAATTCATAATTGACTTTTCAAGAGCATACTCTGAGGCCTTAGTGAATTCCTTGTGGAGCTCTATTTTCCTTTTTTTTTGAGTTTTACCTCTCAAGAATATGATTTTGTCACTAAGAAAACTACCTATCTCAGAAACGGACAAATATAGGAACTGCGTCTTAGGAAACGGGAGCCATGTTGCGTGGCTGGGAAATCATGGGGGGGGGGGGGAGATTCCTGATGGTCCTTGCCTTTCTCATGTCCATCAAAGGCCAACTTCTGCATATTACAACTGCCAGATCCTGTCAATTTTTCTTCTTAGCATTTGAGCAGAAATCACATAATGTGATTAAATCTCTATCAGAAAGCAAGGAATACATGTTGACCCACTTCGTTTTTTACTTCCTATCTTTCCATCTTTCATTGTGAATCATGGCTCACATGCTCCCCATCTTCTTCATCATTCCTCACATCCATCTCTTTCCCTTAGCTTGGACTAGGTGATGGCCTAAGGCAATTTTCCCCTTCCTGAGCGCCCTACAGTAAGTGGAATGAAGATATGACCTTAGGTTGTTCCCACCTTCTTTTTTCTACCAAAAAGGTGGGAACATGTCAAGTGACACTAGGCTTATGTTCAGGAACACCTGAATATATGCCAATGTGTAACTATAAAAAACAGTTTGCTTTCTGCTTGGCATCAAGTGAAGAGAAGAGTGTAAGTCCCAAGCTGCCAGAGGTCATAATTAAAAGGAACGGAAGTATGTCATGAGTATGCTAACACAATACAACTTAGGCTGCACTCATCACTTTTCATGTTCCTGCACCATCCTCAGCAATTTCTTCATTTCCCTAGCACTAACAAGGTTACTTATGCAAGGAGTTTATTTAGGCACTGTTCAAAATAGGCAACTGCCAACAGGTCTGAAAACCAGTCTGAGAAATACACCCAGGGTACCTCAGTGTTTTTCTGTTGTGCGTCCTATTGGAATTTTGTGCATATAGGATGCACACTTGCATGTAAATGCACTCCCACAATGGGATGAGGCAGCGCAGAGAAAACATGCCGAATGCCTGAGGAGTGGGGGAAGAGGGTGGTGGCATTGATGACACTAGATTCCTTTTCTTTTCTCTTCTCTTCCAAGCCACTTCATAATAGGATAGATGTTGAGAATATGACTGTGAGGCAGGGCCAAGATGAAACCTCTGAGGGCAACTTCAATAAGTTCTTTGAGCTTTTGACTGATGTAGCCTATGCTGTCTGGGTCCCAAATTTAATCAAGTTCACTCAACTCCTTGGCTGTGCT